GACTTCCGTCGATGGTATCGTGAATGGAGTGGAGGTCAAAAACTTTGTCGACAATCTTAGCAATCAGACGGAAAGTCAAATTACCTTGGTAGGCGCTACATCAATGAGGGTATCCACCCACTTATTCACCCACAGGCTGGTGTCTCCATGGCCTTGGACATCGCCATCCTTGCTGTTCCAGGTTTAGGCACAACAGTGACCTCACAGACGTTATGTTCTTGCTCTTTACTTTTCGGTGTTGGCTGCATTTTTGCTGGCACGATGGTGCAACATTTCGGCAAGAGAATGAGATCCATTGACTTTGCGGTTCGATTCACACTATTTTTTCTCAAGAACAAGCCTGATATTACTGACTGGACAGGTATATTACCTGCAAAAGAGGACGGCGATGCCATGGAGCTTATCACCATCGATTTTACGAAAGGTTACTCGGTCCCGACTCCCGGTAGGCCATCCCATCATTGCGGCTACTAATACCTAGCTGTCACTCACCCTGGCCACTGCTTGACTGGCATCAGGCACCCCGCAATTTGACGAAAGGTTGTTCGTTTCCGGCAGGCCATCCTGGCCCATAATCACTGCGGCTACTGCCTAGCCGTCAGCCACCCTGGCCACTGCTTGGCTGCTATCAGGTACGCCGCTTACTGGAATATCACGTGGTGCGCTGCTGGAAATAAAAAGCTAGATTTTAGTATCTGTGATGCTCGAGCTACTTTTGACTCGCGAGCTCTCATGACCACTGAAGAGACCATATCTACCATTCCGAGCAAGCGTGCTACATCGGCCCTTCAAATGGGACCCCGCAAAAAAGCGTAAGCTGCCCTTGTTCGACACAGGTTTTGCAGACTTATTCTGTCGCCCAGCTCTATGTCCGATCCTCTTATATCCCATGGGCGTCACTTCGGTCGAACAGTATTTGCACTATGTAATTATCCTTCTCTACTCACCAACGGCATCCTTAGATTGGAGCAGATGGAAGATACTCCTTTGGAAGACTTCCCTGCTGAGTGAAACACATTGTCTCTATTGACTTACTGTTGTCTGATTTTTTGGTAGAGAACAACGAGAACATCGAGTTTTCAAACAGCTCTTGGACTCTTATCCCGGCCTGTTGGAGCGACTGAAAACCGGGTCTGAGGAGGAAATTATTCATGTTGGAGAGCTGGTGAGTTGTTTTCTGCGTGGCTAGACTTTGTGCTTACAATTCATAGATCGGTAAGGGAGCTGCAGGCGCGAGAGGTGATGATACGAAAATGTTGAAGTCTGCAGTGCTCGATTGGATTTCTCCGAAAGGGGCAGCAATTCAGCCCCCCCTACACAGGAACTCAAAGATCGATCGGGGATTCAACCACGAGCTTACCGGATCACTGCTTTGTCCTGCTGGGTTGGACTGGAAGGACGCAGAGTATGTTTTCGTTTTCTTTTTTCTAGCATCGGTAGTCCTGACAACGTTTTTTGCGCTTGATTCTCAACAGAACGAGAGAGAACCTCCGAAGTGGCGAAATGTTAGTCTGTGGGGACCAATGGCCCATTTTCTTATACGCCCACCATATGTTTGATGCGGATGACCCATGGTGCGGTCTTCTTAGGAGCCACTTGTTGGTATGTGTGAGTAGGCAAATGTATTTTTACATAGTTCACTACTGATTGCTTGCACGTCAGGCCTACAAGCATGTCTTTACGTCTCCAAGTTCGGTCGACAAAGAACCGAAAGCCACGCGGTCCGGGAATGCTCGCCTTCATGGCATGAATTCCGTCACCATCGCGTCCATAGCTTACGTTGCAACTCAGGTTCGTCGACACATGTCTTTCTCGTTGAATAGCTGATAGCTGACATACATGCAACCGAAGGTCCGATTTGCTATAAGTTCTTCTTCGGTGTTCTCAAGGACCGACACAACGACCGACTCAGAAACGTTTTATCATAGCCTCCTCGACCTCTTCGAAGATCCTGAGGAATCTAAGGAGGTTGATGACCTACTCACTTGGTGGAATCAGTATTTTTTATTACTCTTCGTTATATCACTGAGGCTCATGCATTGTTATGTGCCAGCCAAGTGTTTCCCACTTCCTCTGCCGCTAAACGACCTATCAGCGCCAACAGTGCCTTATCGAAAATACGGCTCAAACATCTTGCGATCAAACAAGCTACAGATTCAAACTTAATTTCATCGTAGTCTTTCTAGAAACATGTTTTCGTATAATAAATTACAACTAATATAAGCATAAGCATGTTGTCGTCAACTAGAGCACTCGAGTGACCAGAAGATAGACCTACAGCCAATAATGATCTGAAATAAGCCGAGATGAATTGTAATAGCCCTACCTCTGCAACAAGCTAGCGGATGGTACCACGTCGTCATCGTCCCGCACTCTTGTAACGAACGCAGCTCGGTCCAGAACAAACTAACGTCGCAAGGCCTTAGATAGCGTCAGAGTTTATCAAGACTTCGTGGAGAATAGACTGACTAACCCACCTTACACCTAATGACCATACCTTGGCAGTGAGCTGGCAGATAGTATCGCGTCGTCATCGCCCCGCATCCTTGCACCAAAGGGAACTCGAACCAGAACACACTAACGTCACAAGACCTTATCTAGTGCCAGAGATTATCAAGAGTTTGTAGAGAACAGAATGACAGACTCACCTTGGACCTAACGACCATATCTCGGCAGTAAGCTGGCGGATGGTATCGCGTCGTCATCGCCCCGCATCCTTGCACCGAAGGGAGCTCGATCCAGAACACGCTAATGTCGCAAGACCTTATCTAGCGCCAGAGTGCATCAACAGTTTGTGGAGAATGGACTGACTGACTCACCTTGCACCTAACAACCATATCTCGGCAGTGAGCTGGCAGATGATACCGCATCGTCATCGCCCCGCATCCATGTACTGAAGGGAACTCGGTCCAGAACACGCTAACGTCACAAGACCTTATCTACTGCCAGAGTTTATTAAGATTTTGTGGAGAATGGAATGACTGACTCACCTTGCACCTCACGACCATACCTTAGCAGTAAGCTGGCGGATAGTACCGCATCGTCATCGTTCCGCATCCTTGTACCAAAGGGAACTCGGTCCAAAACAAACTAACGTTGCAAGACTTTACCTAACGCCAACATCAAGGGAGGATTTGTCGAAGTTCCATTGAAAAGCATAGGTTGCATGTGATAAGCGGATTGAAACTGCATTATAATCGCTTTACACATTTGGGCCGTTGGCAGCTTTGATCCAAAGCAGTCCAGCCATATAAAAAATTATCTGATGTTAGCATTCATCTAGAGATTGCGCAACAGCCAAAGGTCACATACCACGACCAGGGCATGGCAGAATGATAGTGTATCACCGCTAGTGCTCAACTAGGTGACTGTGGTGACTTTGGGCAACTTAATAATTCATTCTCACGGCTGGTGGGTATTGCAATCTGTTGACAAAATGGCAGATAATTGCAACGAGACTGCACAAATGTGCATTTGGTGGTTTCTATCCAACGTAGTCCGGGTATTCAAAGCTCTGTCATTTGAAGTACAATTGTGATATATATTGTACGAATTTTACTTTAAATAAACCTTTCTAACACTTTACCATTTTCGCGTCGCTTTCCTGATGTGTTTCGGCAGAAACTTCATGTCAACCCGGAGATCTTCGATGACATCCTCGATTATATATCTAATCACCCTATCTTCCAGAACCAGTCCAACAATCCTCAGCTCCCTGTCTCCATCCAGCTCGCCATCTTTCTGAATCGGGCAGGCCACTATGGCAATTCCATTTCTCTCGAGGATGTCGCTCAATGGGCAGGCGTGAGTGTCGGGTCCGTAGTTAATTGCACTAATCGTGTAATGATTGCGGTGCTTGATGCCCATGATCAGTTTATCTGCTTCCCAGCAGGTAATTCTGAGGATGCTGACCTGGCTCGCAAATTTGCTGAGTCACGTACTTGTCCAGAGTGGAAAGGTGGCTTTCTAGCCATCGATGGTTCGACTATGAATCTGTTCACGAAACCTGGTTATTATGGTGAGACGTTTTATGATAGGAAGTCCAATTATTCCCTTGGCTGTCAGGTAACATTTTTGTTCTTCATCTTCATGTGCAAAAATTAATTTAATTCTAGGCAGTCATCCTGCCCCATAACCTCCTGATTGTTGATTACTCTCTTGGTCATCCCAGGAGTGTCCATGATGCATTCGCTTTTCGATCCACTCGCCTCTATGACGAGCATGCTGATCTTCTGCCTGATGGTCATTGGGTTTGGGCAGACAGCGCTTACCCATTGGAACCATGGTGTATCGCCCCTTTCAAGAGGCCTCGCAATGGACGGCTGACAAAGGACCAGAAGACATTCAATTATCACCTCTCTAAGGTATGTTTTTTCTTAGTGGTTTTCAATTGATTTTCATTTATGTAGATTCGTGTTCGTGTTGAACACACGTTTGCTGTTTTGAAGGGACGGTTCCAGTCCCTTCGAGAGCTACGGTTCAGGATTCAGGCCGAGAAAGACCTCGAGTTTGCTGTGCAGTGGATCAAGTGTTGCATCATCTTGCACAACATGATCATTTGCTTTGAAATCGAGCATCGCAAGGAGGACGGAACATACAAGAGTTCTCTAAAGTGGGCTCGCACGGAGGGGGAAGATTTCATTGATCAAGAGATTGAGGGTCCAGATGGTGAAGAAGTAGTTGGTGACAGGACATATGATGGCACTCCTGGTCAAGCTGCTCGTGCAAAGTTGATGGATGAGCTCTTTAACAGTCCTCACTCAGATGCACACCATAGGGAAGGATGATCAATTCTTTTTAAACATGTAATACTACTCAAACACTTGTACAACAAATGTATATACCTATGTACTCAATCACAAAAGGTAGCAACAAAAACATATGTCCAATGGAAACAACAACAGCAAATAAGACTATGAGATGACAACGAGAACGAGAATGAGACGACAACGAGAACGAGAACGAGACAACGACGAGAACGAGACAACGACAACGAGAGCTCACTCAACTCCATCAGATGATGGGCCCTTGCTCGCCTGCATCATTTGCTGAAACTGGATCTTGAGTCGAAGGGTCTCTGCCTCCTTGTCGAGCACAAGCGAATGCGCTTTGTAGACTCGGATGTCGGTCTCACGAAGGCGGATCTCGCTATCCTTCGACTCCTGCAGACGCTGATGGCTGACGGTAGCCTGGAAAGTCTCATGTTCGCGGGCGGCGCGAAGGTATTCGTACTTCTTGATGTCGCGGGTGTGCTCGGTCTTCGCCTCGAGCTTCGCGAGAAAGCGAAGGTGCTTGTGGTCGTGGCGTGACATCGCGTCGGATTGCATCGACGCTATCTCGTCCTTCACCTCCTCAACCTGCTGCGTCACATCTGACTTCGCTTTCTTCTTCTTCGAGCCACCGGCGCTGTTGGGAAGCGAGGTCTGGGGGGTCGAGGACATCAGGTAGTCCAACGACGAGGTAGTATTGCGTGTCGTGGATGAAGGCGCTGATGTGCTGAAAGAGATATCCGATGGCAGCCTGCGGTGTCTACCGCGGCTCGGTGGCTTCTTCAGGCCAAACACCGAGCGGCTGTTGTAGACAGACGATGGGGATGCTGTTGGCATGTGGAAAGGTTCGGGAGCGTCGGGAACGGCAGGAACATCAGGAGGGGGAGACGGCGACGGAAGTTGTCGCTTCTTCCCAGCGGCTTTGGAAGAGTTATCGGCCCTCTTGTCACCTTCGAGGGGGGCATCCAATGGGCCACCGGTGCCTTGAAAGTCCATGTCCATGTCCATGTCATCGTCTGATGTTGGAAGGCCAGGGAGATGGATTTGGGGGGACTGATTGTAGGGGGCTGCGGAGGGTAAGGGGACAGCGGAGGGTAAGGGGACAGCGGAGGGTAAGGGGACAGCGGAGGGCAAAGGGCCAGTGGAGGGCAAAGGGCCAGTGGAGGGTAATGCGGGAGCAGGAGCAGGATGTTGCAGTGTTGGATCGATGGAGGGATCACCGTGTGAACCCCCAGCATAAGGCATTGCTGGGGAATAGTAGTGCTGGTCGTAATGCGAGGGCGGAGTGCTGGAAGGATGGATATCGTGCGGGGGATATACTTGAGGAGGCGGTTGAGGGTACTGCATGGGACCAGCGCTGGCATCAATGTGCATGGGGGGACCGGCACTGGTGTCAAGTTGCATGGGGGGACCAGCCCCAGCATGTGGTCCAACCAAGGAATATAACGCGCCGGCGTGATCGACGCCAGGTCTTGATGAGTGAGTCTTCGCGGCCATGGACGGATTGGAATGCCAAATGGCATCCAGTTCCGTATACCATGGGAGCTCTAAGAGCGCTGCATCTACGAAATACATCAGCTAAGGACCGGAAAATAAGGAACGAGGACTCACCCAAAAGATTTCTCATTTGCGTGCCTTCACCAGGCATCACACCAGCGCCAGTACTGTCAAAAGATGCCTTGAGTTTCTTGTATTTCCCCCTAAGTCTACATAAATTTCAGTATTTTTTGTAACGGAAGAAAAGACGGAAACGACTCACGTTTGGATGCAGTTGCAGACTCCGTCACGAAACTTCTTTGCGTTGGTGGCGAACGCGTGACCGTACCTCGGATGGTCGGTGAAAATAAGTTTGGCCAGGGTACCATACACCTGCCCCTTGTCCGAGCCCGAGGCACCATCATCGACGGCAGACATCGCTTTCTTGCCGTCAGAGTAGAAAAGTACTCTGCAATCGGCGGGGTGCGTGGAGAGATGGTTGACGAGGATGTCGGTAAGAGCACGGTCGCTCTGTTACAATAACATGTAACCGAGAACCCCTCCTACGGAGGTCATCATGACCTTAGCCCCTATCCCGCCATATGCACCGTCTTGGAAGACTTACCGACTCAACGGAGACTCGTAGAGACGCCTAGAACGGCCTGGATGCCGTTAGATGACCTAGACCAGCCTAGGCAACATCTGATCGGACCTAGATGGTCCTCGACCCGGATCATGAGGAAGCTCTGCCTCATGGTCAGAAGACAAGCCGCATGCCTCAGCATGCGCAGTTAGACTCAAAGGCATGCTACGCCTTGAGGACAGATAAGAGAGGCATGGTAAGCCTCATGCATAGATAATCGACCGCATGGCATCAGATAAGATGCCCTTGTATAGACACACTTACATCTACCTACCGAACGTAGTATTGGTCTGTGCACACGGACGACAGTATATAGAGCAGACTAGAATCATGTATATTCCCTACTTGATTCTACTAGGTTTTCATCAGAACTTCCTCTGTGTGATCATCCCAATCACTCAGTCTAAGCCGCACCTTAAGGAAAGCCGACGCTACCTTAAGTGGAACCCCCGAACCTCTCATTCGAGAGAAGATCCCCGTCTCTCCAATAGCGAGCCCGCTATCAGATTAGGCAATCCGCCTAGGGAGAGCTCGAACTACCCTAGTCCGTAACACGCTCTGCCACTGGATAGTCAGGCGGGGTACATGCTGTTCTGGAGGGGGTTTGGCTGGTCCACGAGTGTTTGGACCTTCGTCGTCCATCGACCTGGAGCAGCGCACTAGAGGGTTGGCTTTCAAGCGTGCAGAACGGCGTACACGTTGGCGAGAAGGGGGCATGGTTGTTTGAAACTCCGCCAGCGATGCCGGCCTGACCTTCAATCGCAGTCCCAGCGGCCGAAGTGTTGGAAGCCGCTTAGCCACGAGTTGAAAGCCTTAGTCAGAGTTCAGCGAGCTTTCAAACATTTCTAATTTTTATTTTGAGTACCACTCATAATGGTTTCTGAAACATAGAGAGCCGATCTATTTCGGAATGCTAACAGGTCACACATCACTCATTCGGTCTCAGTCTTACAGATCTCCGCACCTTTCAGGCGTGTTAGCGCAACTAATAATAGTGGCGGAGTTTGGCTGGGCCTTTAGCTTTATCTTTCTCCCTGAACGATTAATACGTCAATTCTTTACATAACTTGCTAAAAGTTGCAGTGCTCCTCGCCGTTAGTTTCGATCCATATACATTACTTCGTTCTCGCCAGAATCTCATTTTTTTGTATCATCTAGGATAGTCTTGACGACAACTCGACGACAAGGGTTAACTGGTTACAGCCATACTACAAACTTGTACGACAACAAAACGGAAATGCCGAATTTACGAGACGTTCAGTGCTGGAGTCATCGTCACGGTCTGTTCGGACAGAGGGTTTCAAGTCTCAATGTCCTTACTGTCTAACCTGGACTCCTTGACGTTATTGACTAGTCCGCACAACATGCCGCGCTGCGAGCGCCGGCAGCTGGGTACTAAGCATCACAAGCCTCTATTAGGTAAGTTGTATGTGAAGTCCGACGCCGAGCTGGTCGAGTGACTTGAGTTGCTGTGCGTGCAGTGCACTAAATTTTGTAATTGCTGTCAGGTGCCATGATAGCGAGATTTTTCACTTCATGCTATCATTTATCCACCACCACGATAGGCACTATTCCTCGTCAATAGCTTTCTGTCTGGCAAACCTGGCAAGGGTTTCATCGGGTTGACCTTGATCATGCTCACGCTTAGTCCTGGTTCGATTTGCGATGTGTGCGCAGAAGAGTACAATCCGCATTGTGTTCCTAATTCCATTCCATGCGGTGAGCGCTCAAAAATTTTGAATCTGCAGTCATCAAACTTCTAACGCTGCAAGTTTTTAGGTCACATTTTCTGCTGGAGTTGCTGTAATAAAATTGTACAAAAGACATCGCCTCGTCTCCGAGCTGCCTGCCCTTTCTGTTCCGAGCATTTCATTAGTGGTGATGTGCATTTGCTACACATAAACTTTCCAGGAAGCGGACGGGTTACTCCTCGGTGGCGAGGTGACCTCAACGAGGCTCTTCACCAATCACGAGGAGAAGATCTGTCTCCCTTAGTCGAGCCGAGTTTCTTGCGTATACGCGCAGAGGCTCGTAGATTGGAGGATAAGGTGGCCAAGGTAGTCACAAGAGAATGTTCAGTGGAAGAGGTTTCGACTCTTTACAAGGAGCTAGAAGAGTGGTTGACTAATGGCGAATATTCCAACGTCCAGGTAATGTTTTTTTCTGACAATTCAAGTGTTTGCGGTTCCGCTAACATCGAGTGCAGTCCTATTCATTATCATCGAGTGCTGTGCTGCTTAGGACCATTTCGACGAATCACATCGCTCATTCGGAAGCTACGAAAACGGCCAAGGGAATTGAAGCCATTCTAAAAGAGAAGCTAGACGACATGGAATTGAAGGTCAGCAAGTTAGAAACCGACCTAAAGCAGTACGTGACCTTGAAGTGCACCATTATGATAGCACTTTGATTTTGACTGACGTACTCTTCTAGACAAGTATGTTGTGGCTTGAGGAATGTTATTCACGTCACTCACCATGTTTCTTTTTGTTTAAGCAAGCACTCTATACCCAAAAGGTGCAAGAATGCCAGGCTCTTCGAGCAGAGCTTACCCGTTGTACCCTTAAGTCCGCTTACTCTCGGGCTGCAAATTTACCTGCCCGCCCCAGCACTGCCGCTTCAACTAGATCAAGTGAACGTCAACAAACAGTTTCTTCATTTGCAGCATCCACATGCAAAGAACCAGCTATCCCCCCCATGCTGCCGCGCTTCGCATCTCTTCGTTCTCGAAGTGCCTCCGCTTCTGCTGCTGGAGTCCAAAAACTGACGACCCCCGCATGCACGATGGCACCATCAATTAGGTCTCAGACTTCAACGAAAGCTTCAATGCTGTCGTCTCGCTTACGTGCTACGTCCCCAATTCCCCTCTCAAGACCACGGACTATCTCCGTCTCACCCTCAAGACATTCTACGACGCCCCCTCAAATTATCAATCGACCGAGCTCCGATGACCAGGAGAGGCCACGAGAAATGATTTACGAACGATGGTTGCCGGCGCCAGATTTGACGTACACCCTGCCAACAGGCAAAACCACCCACCACCCAAAGGCTGCTGCGACGTTACCTCAAATGACCACACCTATTCAGCCAGATGATGACGTGTGGGGGCTGGACGACGAGTGGGAGTCAGATGAGGACGAGTTGGAGCTAGATGAGGACGGGTCTGAGCTAGATGAGGATGGGTCTGAGCTAGATGAGGATGGGTCTGAGTCAGATGAGGACAGGCGGAGGCAAGAACCGATTTACGAACGTTGGATACCATCATCAGACACAATGGCCAACCCACCGACAGGCAAACCTGTCAACTATGCACCCAACTTTGCTTCGTTCCCACCTCCTGGTCGTGCTCGCACATCATTCTCGACAAACGGTGCCACCAGGTTGCCTCAAACAGTCACTCCTGTTCAGCAAGATGGGGACGGGTGGGAGCGAGGACGGTTTCGCGAACGTCGGATGCCACCACAAAACACATCCGACGAACGGACAGGTAAAACTGTCAACTTTTCATCCTACTTTGGTTGGTCCCCAGCTCCTAGCCTTGCCCGCCCCTCGTTCTCGACATACGCCGCCTCGGTATCCTCTCAAAAAATCACTCCTATTCCTCCTGATAGGCATGAGAGGGGGAGAAAAGAGATTCACAGACGTTGGATGCCGCCACCGAACGTACCATCCAATTCATCGACCACTGTCCAACCCACTCTGGTTCGTTCTCAGCTCCCAGCCGCACTTGCTTCTAAGATCAAACAATATCCAAACCACCAGTCCACTTAAGCAAGAGGTCTTCCATGCATTGATCGGAAGTCAGATTCCAGGTACATATTTGACACCCCCGATCCACACGTTCAACTGCCGCAGTTCATGACATTCGTCTTTCACGGCTTGGCGATTTGAAGAAGTCCTGAGGCTGAAATACAATATCTCTTTGAATAACTCGGACGCTGTCCCGGGCACAGTGATCCGATGTCGATTGGAGATTCGGAGAATCTTAGTCTCGTACCCAGCCAGCCTATTTTGGTACGGATGGTAATTACTACCTACCCAAACAAAACAATCGTGCCTGTAAGGAATAGTTACGAGTCTAGGAGAATCTGTAGGCAACTGGGCACTCACTGATCGCCCGGAACGCTTGCGCTGTAGTGCACGAATCGGTGGCACCGGCCCAATCGGTGTTGGCGTGCGTTTATCCACACATCACAGTTTGACTAGCGTTGTAAAATGCTATGTATAGGCTGATGCTACTGTACAAAAATGCATGTATTTCCAAAATATCATACGTGGTGAACGAATAGATGGTGATTGGGTGAAAGAATGCCTCATCGCAAGCTCGTGGTATCCATGATGCGTTCTATCTGAAGTCGTACGCGCACGCGCGCAGCCTTTCCCTCAGGGGTTTGACCACCGAGCAGCTTCCCTGCAACTCCGCCGATACCAGTCGTTGCACCCTCGTAAAGCAACTCCAGCATCTTCACCCACTGATTACCCCAAATGAACTTCGCCTCCATGCCTCCTACGTCAAGTGCAGCTACGGAGTTTAGGAGTGAGAGCCTGGGAAGCACCCAATTGCAAAAAACGCACCATGAAGTACCTGTGCGGCTACTGCTGTCTCTAGTAATCTCTCATCCCCAATCATCCTCGCGAAATACGTCCAGAAACGTGGTAACTGGAACATTTTATCCAATGGCTGCGGCACAGGCGCAGCTAGAATCAAGAAATATACACGCATCATCCCAGATACGCGCATAATATGATCGGACAAGGTCTCTCTCTGACCATCATTCGTGCGGTATCCCATCGCCTTGATGCGCTCTAGTTCGTTCCACGCAGTACCGTCTGAATCCGTGGAAGGAATCGCTGACGGAACAGGCCACCCACCGCACCGCTGCACGAGCTTCGCGAAGAAAATATCCGGAAAGCCTTCCAACGTGCCTAGCAGTCTCGCGGCGACCATGGCCAAGGGTATAGCGCTTCGTTTTTCAGCTGTGACCTCTGTTTCGGCTTGGAGAAGGATGGCTTTTGCTAGTGAGGATAGAGCGGCGAAGTAGATGTCTAAAGGAAGTCGTTCTGACGGGCAAATAATATCTATGAGTTGTTGAGTCTGGAAATTTGAGTTTGAGGTGGTGGAATAATAGCGGAAATAAACTTACTATTCGCATGACGGAATCGATATCGTGTGTTAGTTGTCCGATCTTTGGTGTTATCTGTCGGCGAATGGCGCTCCATTTGGATTTGAGTGGCTGGTTCCCCTTGACTGTCTTCATTGGCCCAGCTTTAAGATTCTGAATTAGGTATTAGTATCGCAGTACGTGGTCAGAAGTAGCAGGTTTACCTTGAGAGTTTCACGAGCGTGTACCCAATCCTCTTCGGCCAATGACATCCCCAGTTGTGCCCTGCCCTGTTCCTCAGCGTCCAGCTTCTCCCTGCGCAAACGCTCTTTCTCCTGTTCTTGATGTTTTGCGGCCGCTTCTGCCTCCCGCTGCCTTTGCGCCTGTTCCTCTTCTTTCCGCTTCGCCTGTTCCTCCACTTTGCGTTTCTCTTCTTCCTCCTTCCGTTTTCTCTCGGCCTCCTCCCGCGCTTTGCGTTCAGCTTCGAGTTTGGCACGTAATTTCTCCTCTTCCACGCGAATAACACCCTCTATCCTATTGCGAAATGTCTTATCTTGCTCCTGCCAGCTACTTACGAGCTTGTTAACCTCCGTCTGTTGCCGCACCTGCAATGCTGCGAGTTGTTTCTGCACTTCCACGAGCTGCTGTGCGTGCATAGTTGCCAATGATTTCAGCTCCTGCGTGTTACGCTGGGTACGCCGACCTTGCGTCTCTAAGCGCGTCTGAACTTGTGCTCTGCGCGCTGTGTGCTATTAGAGACTATCAGGGGGTAATTTGCGTAGAAAGAACTAATAGGCACTCACGAATGCATCCTTGCGTGTTTGTTTCTCCCATTCTTCGTAGGGATCGTGGTATCGTGTGCGTAAGCGGATAGCAGCCACTGTGTCCTCTGCATGGCGTTGTTCAGCTGGGCTGCGTGGCTCGCGCTTTGGGCGACTGCAAAAGTAAAATAAGTGAGTGTGAGCATAAATATGATAGTGATTATAATACACGCACGGAGGCGGTGGCGGGACTTGTGATTCAGATTCGTAGCAGAATGAGTCTGATGAAAGGGAGCTTGGGGAGGATAGTTCTGAGTCTGAATCTGTCGGTGGCCCTTCGAAATCGCTATCGGTATCTGATGGGAGACCGAAAGTGGAGGTACGTCTGCGAGATCTGATGGATAATGAATGAGCCTGGCTCGCCGTGGCATGCACTGTGCACGTACCTCCGTTCAGGAGATGGCGAAGTTGAGCGTGGCAATCCGTAACGCATAAGTAAGAGTCGGATTCCGTATCAGCCGTAAGCACCACACGAGTACTGTTGGCTACTGCAGCTTTTAATGAAAGCACGGTCAGATGGCTATCGAATGCACTTACTTTGTCTGGAGCTTGAGTCAAGTTTGGTGCAAGCGGCAGACACGGTAGTTTAATCGCAATTTCCTCCCTTACATTCCATTTTGGGAGAAATTTCTGTATAATAATATTAAATATAAAAATAGCGTGTTAAACACAACTTTTCTGCTGCCACAGGCTGCCACCCACGATCATACCAGCATGTTTGCGTGTCGCACAGCTCAATGCAGGAATTGTCATTAATGATTTGGCTCTCAGTGGCGATCTCAAGTATCATACCAAGGCTAACGATCCAACATCTCCACCGTGCAAACAATGTTTTTCTGACAATGCCTACCTATCAGGAGGACCCACGAACAAATCAGGTAAGGACTCTAGTGACATCAATCATGAAAAAATATGAACTGGAGAGCTGTAATTAGGGAATGAGGATCCGGATTCCGGAATCTTTGCATGCTCCCAGACAAACGATTACTGCGTGATTTCTCTTCGTTGCTGACCTCAAGACTTTGCAGTGGTAGATTCAACTTGCCGGTAAGGATGAATTCATCGGGTGGATCTGTGTTTTGTTCTGTGTCAGGATTTGTACGGGGGCGTCGATATCCTGTCCCCTTGGTTTGGTGGATGGAGGTGCTGTGGTAAGAGACACTCACCATTTCCGTGCTTTGTAAATGTCACTTAGCGTCAGATGTAACCTCTGTTGAAGGTCGTTCTTCGTTTCTGCGATATTCGTCAGGCTGAGCACCTTCTTGACAGGCGTGATAGCGACGACTAACCGCTACACAACAGAAACCAATCTGTCCGATCCGCGTAACGCTTTTCAAAGCCTTCATTTTTTCACCCTCTCATGACGATAAACAAAACCCTCGGAAAAAAAGTTGTTTTGTCGTACGTCGCATAGCATATTACAGGTGTGTTCTGCTAGAACCAATATTGAGGGGCGTTGGGCAGAACCTGAGCCGCTCACTAGACTGATATGATCAGTCAAATGATGCTGGACCTAGGCTCATGGTATGTAATGTCAAAATTGACGATCCTGCGCGCCTGAGAGTCTGCCAGCAGACGGCAGATGCCGAATTCTAGAATCTTCTGCTACCTGCTTGCTCACATGTAGTTGGTATAGTAAGCCCAGTTGTTGATGAAGTCCGTAATATTGATATATAACGTGAACCAGCAGGCGATGCCACATTTCAGTCAGCAACTGACTCATTCACCAAGCTATCGGGATATTATGATTGTCTGACTAGTCTATCAATTAGTAAGATTCATTTCCGCACTTGCCCCTTCCTGATTACGAATAACTCCAGCAGGAAGTGATGCAATGACCCACCGGGGCAAAAAAATTACCTGTCTCGTATATAAACCTGAGCATTCCTCTGTTGAAGTACTATCACTCAAATCATCATCATCGTCATCGTCATCGTCATCATCGTCATCATCATGTCGGAGCAGCTTACTTTGTACCTTCACAAGGTGAGAAACAATGGAGAGTAAAGCGGAAAACTTGTCTGACCCATAACTCTCCAGCTCTCGCCCTATAGCGCAAAGGTGAAATGACTGCTGACACCATCTCACGAGTCTCTGACGCAAATTGACAGATCGAGCTGGCTCTTGTAGAAGCCAATGCACCCTACAGAGCCTACCAAGTCGATCTCTCCAATAAACCAGAGTGGTTCGCCAGTAAAGTGAACCCAGTCGGCAAGGTATGTGTGATGATATCCTGTTTCTATTGGAGACGAATGTGACATAACTATAGGTGCCTGCTGTAACATATGGGGGACCCAATGTCGAACCCGATGATCCTTCGCCCCTGTCCGCTAAAATTGCGGAATCGAACATCATCCTTGAGTTCTTGGCGGACCTTTATCCAGACTCAGGCCTCCTGCCAAAGGATCCTGTCCTGCGCGCCAAAGTCCGTTTGTTCATCGATGTGACTACCAAACAGGTCGAAGCACCATTATACGATTTCATCCGAGGGCAGGAGTCATATGACAATATCCTGAAGGGGATTGAATTTCTTCAAGGACTTCTCGAAGAAGGTAGAGATTTCGCGGTTGGAGATCACTACAGTATCGCAGACGCATGCATCTCTCCGGGTCTCGCAAGGCTCAAGATCATCACCGAAACTGACATAGGTAGAGCAACCACCCATGCCTTTCCCCGAGAAGTTGAATCTGATTAATTGCAAATAGGGAAATTCCCTGTCGGAATGGGGTATAAGTTAGGGGAGGAGTTAAAAGGACCGAAATTTGCCAAATTCAGGAAATACGCTCAAGGAATGCTGGACCGTCCGAGCTTGAAGCAAACTTATGATGAGGTGTGTATACATCTACGCAAATGACTAATGACTTACTCTTTACTGCCTTCAGGAGTATACAACAACATTCTTCAGGACGAGATTCACTGAGCGCGTACAGTGAAGATATACCTGATAGCAGATGGTTAGCTTCGCAGGACAATAATTTCTAGCTGTCGGAAATATGCAGTATATCTACGTGAATATCAGACGCGACATATAATAAACAACCAGCAAGAGAGCCGTGCGACAAAGATAAAATTTCCGCATAATTATCGCTACCCTTGGCAACATCAATCAGTTGGCAACTTAGACCATGGTCTCCAACATATGAACCGCATATGAGGAGGGTTGCAGAGCGTGGTCCCCTTGCGGTGGTGTGAGCTCTAGTTTCACACAGACTCTCATTAACGGTGACACACTTGATTGATAGCAACTGTTTCGTGCTCGGCTCCCCCCGATTACGAGCCACCATTTGCGATCTGTTTTGCCAGGTGAAAAGGTACGGCAATAGCCCGATCACGAGGGCCCTCGTCTACATCACAAGTAAGAGCGACCTGAATTGTAATGGACTAAACAGTATGTTTTGCTTTGTCAAGATTAAAGGACACGCCACGGGTTGGGTATGACCACATGTTCATTCATGCTGTCAAATAGATGCACATAGTGGAACTCACATTTGGCGACCATTCATGTGAAAGGTTCGTTGCGTTGTCGACTTCTATCTTCATGACGTTACAATACACTCAATGCCGGCATCTGGTCCATTTTGCCAAGTAGGGCGGAAGCTATGAGTCTGGAGGAGAAAGAACGAGCTCCGATCGAGTTTGACGGGGGAGTTCAGACTTTTACGGTATACTGAAAATCATCACTGCCCGGTAGACTCAAACGAGTTCATCATATTGATATATCCTATTTTGCAGTAATTGCAATGTATAATTAATTGGATATCACACTGGGTGATGATGGAAGAAGCGACTTGAGATCATGCTGCAGCAGCGTGGTATGGACCCATCAAGAACCCTACATAAGCACCTGGGACGTGAGTTGCGACTCAGAAAAGAATTCAACAACTCACTATACACGAGTTCTACAACACAACGATAACCCAAACGTACGCTCCTTTTTAACTTGAATTCATTCTAACTGACCCGGACCTCTCTGTCTAGGTCGCACAATATGTCGGAAGTATCTGATACAGCAAGAGATACTTTTCAAGGGCAGCCAGCGCCAACGCGGGCGACGCGACGGCGCAAGAACAAAGTGTGGGCGGTTGCATTCTTCAACGATGGTCGACGGGTCGTCACCAGTTCGCATGATAAAACCCTGCGAATTTTAGACGTGCGCCAGATAGGAGAAATGGTAGGAGGGCCATTCAAGGGGCATACGGACCGTGTGCGATCAGTCGCCATATCTCCAGATGACCGCCGAATTGCGAGTGGTGGGGATGATGCTACTGTCATTATCTGGGATACCGAGAGCAAACAGATGGTACTCAATCCGCTGGTGAAGCATACAGAGAAGGTGAACTCTGTGTGCTTCTCCCCGGATGGAAGGAGAGTCGCAAGCAGTTCGCATGATTCGACGGTTGTTGTATGGGATGCAGAGACTGGCGCAGTCCTTGCAACACTCGATCATCGTAAAACCGTACACGTGTGGAGTGTGTCATTTAGCCCGGATAGGCTAAAATTAGCATCCGGATCATCTGACCATACCATCCGGGTGTGGCGCACCGTTAACGCCGAATGTTTGCTCAAGATCAACGCTGGCCAATGGTCAGTTCGAAGTGTTGTGTGGTCGCCTGACGGCAACCAGCTTGTCTCTGTAACATCCAACAATACAGCCAAGTTCTGGGATTCATCTAGTGGAGAAAAGATCGGTCAACCGTGCATCGGTCACACTCGCTGGATCACCTGTCTTGCCACCTCTTCAGATAACTCCGTCATCGCCACAGCATCGGACGACAGCACTGTGCGGCTGTGGTGCACAAAGACACATAAGCAGATAGGACATATACTTGAACACACCAAAAAAGTCCACTTTGTTGCGATTTCTCCCGATGCAGAGCTACTCGTGACTCGGAGTGGAGCCGATGATGGAGATCTTCAGCTTTGGTCTGTTAGGGATATACGGGAGCATGGTAAGGTGGAGGAAAGCACAACAGACTACGAAGAAGTACAGGCACGTTCTTACTCGTTATTGTTGTGCCTTTCTATTCATCACATTTTTTACGTGCTAACTAGTGCTGCCGTGGTCCGGTTCGGTCCGGTTCACAGAGGGTCGAGCGAGAACCAAGAACTGGACCTAGGTCCGGTTCTACCAGACTCAACGAACCTCGAACTGGACCTTGGCGAACGGTTCAGAATGGTCAGGTCCAGTTAATTTCAGGTTCGAACGTGAACCGAACCAAATTTATTTACAATGAGCAAAAAAAAACATAAGTACAGCGTCCCTACCAAACATTAGCAGAACACAATACATGCAGTTCTAATTACATACTTGCAAGGGTTGCATACCCAGTGTGTTTCATGGCGAGTGAAGACAGTGCGAATGTCAGCGGTACGTTCAGTCTTCGGCAAAGTGGCTTGGATGGCGTCCTCAGGTTCGGCTTCGGCTTCAGGTTCGGCTTCGGGCTGGTCCTCCACGGGCTGGTCCTCCAAAGGATCGGTGTCATGACCAGCGTCGTCGTCATCAAGGCTATCCTCGTCTGATAATAGACATGATAAAACCTTTTTGTGAGCCGGTTGAAGTTGAAGTTCAGTAGCGCTAGACAATGCACGTTTGCGGTTTGTTGAGCTGGTGGAGGTCGAGGTTGAATAAATGTTCTCAGCATCCCGGAGGCGAGCAGATGGCTTAGAGGTCCGAATGGATCGTCGAGCACCAGCTGTAACTGGTGTTGGTTTGCGCCCAGTATTCAGTAGCATAGAGAAGGCATCCTGAGGAGGATTAGTAGATGATGATGGCTGGGGGGCAGAGGACGTGGTGTCAAGGGGGACAGAATCATCGGGATCGTGGTAGAAGACGATGTCCTTGGCATCCTTGAGAGAACCGTCAGCATTGACAGCGCATGAGTCTGAATGAGCCATGTTGAATATAGTGCTTACCTGCTGAGGCTTGCACATTTTATGTGCAAGCAAATCAGACAGCCGGTGGACAAACAGCCGGTGGAGGATCGTAATAGCATCGTAGGGTGTTGGTATGATAAGGATCTGGGCGAGGACATGGTCATTATGAGCACAACACTCACACTGTTCAGTTTGAACAGTGCATATCATGACTTACCTTGTCAATGAGCCTCTGCATTTGACGGAAACAAGTAAGTATCGAAGCTCGAAAATCCTTGAGGCCAAGGCGAATCATCAAAGGCAGTGTCAAAACACGCTTCGACAATGCGACAGAACTTCTCGCAGTTCAGGGTTCGGACCGGTTCGGGGAAGGTTCGAACCAACATAGAACCGTTCAGGCAAATGGTGGACCGTGAACCTCACTCAGGTCCGGTCCGCCCCAATTCATGGACCACGGACCGAACCAAGGAAGAACCTGACCGTTGGTCAGGTTCGGACCGTGGTTCTGGACCGAACCACGGCAGCACTAGTGCTAACTCAGAGTTATTGTGACAGCAAAAATGAGCATAGCTGCGATAACATGAATCAAAAAGAGCCCTCTGTCGATCAGGACAGTACATGCGACTCCTCTGACTTCCACGACGCCCTTAGCAGTATTAGTGACAACCAAGACTCATTATTTGATGTGAGCTATTTGTCTTTGTTCACTTTTGACTGAACATGAACTTGCTCTGTGTAGATCTTCGCTATAAAGAAGTGTCAGAAAAAAGTCACAGGCCATTGTAATGCCGCCGGCTTACAAGTTGGGTCATGTGCATTGGAAGGTACATTAAAAGTGCCTTTCAAGGCGGCTGAGGTCATCAAAAGCGTGAGATATTCTTATGCAATGACATCGATAAACAATACATCCATCGTGCAATATCACATCGCCATCAGCATGGGTCCCTCTCGCACTCATTGAAGCAAATACAACTTCTCCGAAGAAACTCTGACAGGGCAGCTTCTATGCCCGCATTGTAGCAAGAAGTTCAAGACCCAAGGCTTCAAGAAGCACGAAACAAGCTGCAAGAAGCAGAAGGACACCAAGGCGGAACAAGCGGAGTTCGCCATTCAATATGCACGAGATCAGAAAAGAGGTGAGTCCTCTGCTACCCGCTCTTGATGTTTCCTTTGACAATATTGAGGTATGCAGCTCGGCAGCAGGCTCACACTGACATGGGCATGATAACGCCCCCTAGCGCTGGCCCATCGCGATCAGTTGCTGGGATTCAGAATGCGCCCCCTGCAATCAGGGATCATAGTCCTCTAGGTATGTCTCACGTATTCTTTGTGTGCTCCTCCAACGCCAACTGACACTAGCTGACCCTGTGCTGCCAGCAGATAACCTGGACGCTGGTGATTTCGAAGCCTACAATGGGAACTACAATGGGAACCTCAAAGGTGCTGGTAGCCTAGGTAAGTGTGCACCATATTCACCTGTATTGCTTACTGATTCTTTTGCATAGCCAACAGCCAGGGACATTCTGTTGAACCGCAACCTGCAATACCTCCTCCACAGCCCATGGAATTCAAAACGATGTATCATCCTTCTGCTGGTCGTGAACCACTCCTTCAAACATTTGAGGAGTTCGGCGTCAATTCGCATCCTGAGGAAGAGCTCCCTGTAGATGAAGAGCCCTGGCGTCCTTTCTGTTCCCGCGGCGACTTCGAGTTTGCGGAGATCGCACTCAATGCCGCACTCAATAAATCACAAATTAATGTGCTCCTTGCGCTCATTGGTCGCATATTGAGAGGAGAGAGCCGGGTAACTTTTTCAAATGATAATGAGCTGCGCAAAGCTTGGGAACACGCAGCTGCTCAGGTGACGCCGGTATGTCATTAATAAATCTCACATTTTGTATGATATATGTTGTGAATTAGTTTGTAAAACACGACATCACCGTTCCTTACAAAAAAGAACAACGAGTGTATGAGACTCACGCGCTGCCTCTGTGGGACTGGGCTCTTGATTTGTTAGCTAATCCGCTGCTTGCTCCGCATTTTGTCTGGGATGCACAACGAGTTTTCAAGCACAACGGCAGGGAGTTTGAACGCTTTTACAACGAGCCTTGGATGGGTGATCGATGGTGGGACGTCCAGGCATGTAATCTTTGTTAATATCACTATCTACTCTCACTCAGCATCAACAAATCAGAGTCGCCTTCCAAGTGACATTAAGGCCGCTCCATTCTGCTTCATCCTGTATGCGGACAAGACAAGACTGTCGTCCCACGGTACAGTAAAGGGATATCCTGTCGTGGTCCGTTGCGCGAATTTGCCAGTTGGCATACGGAACGGAGAGGGCATCGGCGGTGGCCGTGTTGTCGGGTGGTTGCCAATCGTACGTCAACATTCTGATCGAATCTTCTGATGTGACTCATTATAGTTGCAGGTATCTGAAGATGCAGACGAAGAAGGCTGTTAAGAACGTGCTCAAGGGTCGGATCCGAAGGGCTTGGCTTCAGCTCGTGCGCTGCGCCCCTTACCCGAGTACGTGCCCCTAACTTCCGAGGGTTGTTGAACGATGTCCGAAGGTTACCGGACGATGTCCGGAGGGCGTCGGGCGATGTCCGGAGTCCGATGTCCGATGCGCGGGAATTCCGGCGGACGTTCGGAAACAAGAGATAAGACTAATCCGGACGAAGTCCGAACTAGAAAGGAAACAGCGGAGGACTACCAGAGGTAGAGGCGGAGGTGACAAGTCTATAGGAGTCGATCCTAAGACGAGCGGAGGTCGACGAGAGAGAAACTCAAGTCGGACGGAGGAGAGAATGAGCAGAGTCTAATATGATATTCGAACTGAGGAAACTACAGAGATTGTACAGGGGTTTATATACTACTGAGGACATAACGGAGAACAGTGAGTGCAGTGCGAAGCTATGTAAAGCTATGAAGAAAACATATGGTACGACTATCACTAGTCTATCGGAACTTAGTAAAATGAAGACGGAGATGAATGAGGAACGGAAAATAAAGCGTACTAACTGATAAGGGAAGTACCAAAGGGATAAGGCGCGGAAGTTAGACGCGGGTCGGATCCGGACGATACATAGAAGTCGGCCGGATCCGGAAATCCGGAAATGATGAGTGTGATAGGTCCGGGTCCGGAACGCGGGATATGACAGTATCCCCCCTTTAGGGCCGAGCCCACGAGGCTTCTGATTCGGAAGTCCGGACCGGACTTTTATGAATGCGAGATGATGGGCGGAGCTCGTAAAAATAGCACTGAGCATATAAGTAGGCCGGGGCGCCCATGAGACGTCTAAAACTTTCCCTTTAACTCCTATTACTGCTTTTAACATGTCTAACTCCACTTCCGGCAACAAGAAGACCGCCCGGCAGGTTCTCGAAGAGAGACAGGCGGAAATGGCGGCCGAAATTGCGCGGCTTGAGGCGGACGCTCGGAGAGAGGCGGAGGAAGAGGAACGCAAACGCAAGGAGGCGGAAGAGGAACGGAAACGGATGGAGGAGCAGAAACGGAAGGATATCGAGGAGACTCGGAAGAGGTTGGCCGAGCGCGAGCAGGAGCGTTTGGCAAAGGCTAGGATGGGTAATGTGTCGGAGGTGAGTCGGATGAGGTTTTTTACGTTTTTTCCGGAGTTTAACAATTTTTAGTCCTCCGGTCCGGCGGATCCGGAGGTTGCGTGTGAGATGTGCGTCCTTAGGCGCAAGATTTGCACCTGGGCAGTAGCGTCTAGGACGCCTAGGGTGAGTTTTTCTGTTTTGTCCGGATCCGGATGACTACTGATGATTTCCGAAAGATCCGGACGTGTGACCAGTGCCGCGCGTCCAAGGAAAAGTGCGTCGGCGGAAATCCGCCTGTCAAGGCGCCGGCCGGCAAAGGCAAAGGCAAGAAACGCGCGCGTCCGGAGGGATCTCCGAGCCCCAAGGGCAAAGGAAAAAGACGTCAGCGCAGTCCGGAGGACATCGACGATGACATAGAAATAGTCTCCAATCCCCGGACGGTTATTGGAGAGGATCAAGACTGGGCGGAGTACGACGACCAGGCCTGGGTCGCAGCCGCCAACAACATAGTTGCGGAACTGGCCCGGACGAATGGGCTGATGGAGAGGGGTATTGCAGCGGCGGAGGGAAGTAGAGCTGCGATGGACCGGGTGAGTGAGACCATGCTCCGGTTCATGGAGGAGCAGAGGGAGTTTCAGACTCTCTTCATGGAGAGTCTGAGGGGCGGTTTCCGGATGCATGTAGAAGATGCTCCGGAGGAGGAAAATGAGGAGGAGGCGGAAAAAGAGGCCGGCGGATCCGGCGGAGACATGGAGATGGACTCTTAGGTCGTCGGATCCGAAGTCCGGATGTCGGACGCCTAAATAATGTACATATATGCATGTTTTTCCTTACTCTTTGTTAGAAGTTGGTCCCGGCTTGTCCGGATATGCTGAATGGAAATCCGATAGAAGTTCCGGCGCATTTCCGAGTTCGGTTGCGAGTATCCAGGAAGTTTCTTCGTCCGTCCCTTCATATCCGGCCCAACGTACTAAGTATAGTAGTTGGCAGTGACGTCTCCGGCGGTCGATCTTGGAGTCCAGGATTTCGGAGATTTCGTATTCCGGTTCTCCGTCGACTAATACCGGGGGCGGAGGAGGTTGGATGCGATTAGGAATAGTGTTCGGAGTTGCGGGTTCTAACTGAGAGACATGGAATACGGGGTGCACGGATCGCATAGCGTCCGGAAGATGGATGGTGAAGGAGTGGGTGCCGGGACGAGCGATGATGTCGAATGGTCCGAGATTCTTTTCCGAGAGCTTTTTCGATGGTCGGGTTGAGCGGAAATATTTTGCTTTGACGAAGACCTGATCTCCGACTTTGAAGTCCGGAGCGGGTTTCCGTCTAGCGTCCGCGGGTCCTTGATATCTTGCTTGGGCAAGGGACATTTCTTCTCGGAGGAATTGGTGAAGCTCGTCTAGATCTATGGCATAGTCCCGGGCACGGGCGGATGAGAGATCACGCTCCGGATGTATGGAAATGTTCGGGTGATAACCCTTATTGGCGAAGAATGGCGAAACACCGGTGGTAGCACTCGGAGCATTGTTGTACGCAAACTCGGCCAAGGGTAACAGTTCCGACCAATTGTCCTGCTGATAGTTGCAGTAGATCCGGAGGTATTGTTCTAGGGTTTGGTTGGCTCGCTCGGTTTGTCCGTCGCCTTCCGGATGATATCCGGAGGTGAAATGGAGGATCATGTCGAGTGCTTTTCCGAGCGACCGGAAGAAGTGGGAAACGAATTCCGTACCGCGATCGGAAGTGACATGGGACGGAACTCCGTGCTTGGAAAACACATGGAGGAGAAATAACCGGGCGAGGTCCGGAGAGGTGATGGTGTCGTAGGTCGGAATGAATATGGATTGCTTGGATAGTCGATCTATGACTACCAGGATGGCTGTGAAGCCGGAGGAATCAGGGAGTTGTTCGATGAAGTCCATGGATATAGAATTCCATGGCTTTTCGGGAATGGGGAGTTGCTTCAATAATCCGTATGGTTTGTGTCGTGGAACTTTAGCTCGGGCGCAGGTCGTGCAGGACTTAACATAGTCCTTCACATATGCGCGGATTCTGGGCCAGGTATATTCCCGACGGATAACTTCCAGGGTCCGGTTCTGACCGAAATGTCCGGATAGCGGGTGGTCGTGCGTATTCCGGAGCACTCGGAGACGGAGGTCATTGGATTCTGGAACGTATATACGGTTGTCGCAACAGAGGAAACCACTCTCGTCCATTGTCCATCTCGGGTCCGACGGACCCGGAAGGTGATAGGAAGCGATAGGGTCATTAGGGAGGGCGGACAGAATGTCCTTATGAAGCTGCTCGACATCCATCAGTACAGCCGCCCGGAGCACCGGAATTGCTAGGTGTGATGCCCGGAGGGACGAAGCGAGCTGTTCTGTGGTAAATATCGGCCGGAGGTTGTGTGGATTCACTTGAGCGTAGTCCTTATCCCCCTCTTTGGGGTAGACGTCCCAACGTCTAGTTAGGCAGTCGGGCTTTGCTCCGAGTTTTCCGGGTCGGAACCGGATAACGAGGTTAAACTGATGAAGATATTCCGACCAGCGGGCCTGGCGGCGGGTGAGGAGTTTTGTGGTAGCGAAGTACTCAAGGTTCTTGTGATCCGTGACGACGTCTATCGGCTCGGCAGAGCCTTCAAGGTAGTGTCGCCAAGACCGGAAAGCTTCGTAGATAGCTAGAAGTTCCTTATCATGGGTGTCATAGTTGAGTTCCGGAGCCGAAAGGGTCCGGGAGTAAAAAGCAACCGGGCGGAGCTCCTGGTCCGGACATACTATAGAAAGTATTCCGGCGATAGCATAGTCGGAAGCGTCCGTCTCAACGACGATAGGAACATCCGGCATCCAGTGCGTAAGCACCGGAGCGGTAGTGAAGGCTTTCTTGAGAGTTTCAAAAGATTTCCGGCAATCCTCGGAGAAATTCCAGGGAGCATCCTTGCGAGTGAGCCGCGTAAGCGGAACTACAATATCCGAGTAGTTAAAGATGAAGCGACGATAGAAATTGGCGAATCCGAGGAACGATTGAATATCCTTGACTTTCCGAGGTTCCGGCCAGTCGCAGATAGTCTGGACTTTGTCGGAGGACATTGTAAGTCCGGCCGGAGATAGGAGGTAACCGAGGTATTCTACAGAGTCGGAATGGAATTCGCACTTCTCCGGTTTAGCATATAGCCGATGCTTCCGGAGGCGTCGGAGGACTTCAAGGACGTGTTTTTTATGAGATGCAAGGTCTGCGGAATAGATGAGGATGTCGTCGAGGTACACAATAACACAAATGTCAAGCATATCGGCAAAGATGGTATTGACAAAGCGCTGGAAAGCCGCCGGAGCATTGGTGAGACCCTCCGGCATAACCAACCATTCATACGAGCCGTAGCGCGTCCGGAAAGCAGTTTTCCACTCGTCTCCTTCCGCCATCCGGACTAGATGGTATGCGGACCGGAGGTCGATCTTAGTGTAAACTTTAGCGCGGCTCGGAGAATCGAGAAGGTCGGAAATGAGGGGAAGCGGGTAGCGGTCTTTCTTTGTGATTTTATTGAGTCCTCGGAAATCTACACAGAGGCGTAGGGAGCCGTCCTTTTTTTTGACGAATAGGACAGGGGCTCCGTGCGGAGAGGATGAGGAACGAAGAAGTCCGGTCGCAATATTCTCATCAAGGAATTTGCGAAGAGCTACAAGCTCAACCGGAGAAAGGGAATAGATGGTGCCAAGGGGCGGAGCCGCTCCTTCTTCCAATTCAATCTTTAGATCATATGGACGATGGGGAGGGAGCTGTCCGGCTTTGCCCTTATCAAAGACATCCGCATACTCGTGATATTCCGAAGGAATTCCGGATAGGTTCGGAGGTTCGGAGGAGAGTGTAGCGGAGCGGAGATTGACACCGGACGGACGAACAAAAATACTGAACTGGACCGATCCCTCTAATTTACAGGCCCGGCAAAAGGCAACTGCATTGATTAGGGAAATATTAGGACCGGCATTATCAGCGGAGGGACTCGGCGAGGTTGAGGAAGGGATTTCCGCCGGAGCCGGCGGAAAAGAGGTCGGAGGGGTCGGAGGCACTCCATGAGGAATCGGACGGAAATCGATGCTGCCCTTTACCCAGTCAATCAACGGATTGTGTCGGGTGAGCCAGCTATATCCTAGAACGATGGAACAGGATGAGTCCAGCGGAGTAACATAAAATGTTTCGGAGGTAACCACGCCGGTTGGAAACCGGATCGGTAAATCTACTGCCTCAGTAATAGTGGCATTAGAAGTACCATCAAACAGATGGAGCGGAAGCGGAGGAATTGCATAGGTTGGAATGTTATTTTCTCGGATTAATCTGGTTTCTATAAAACAATGAGACGATCCACAATCTACAAGAGCCGGAAACGGAGAGATATCGGGAAAAGTAGAAATTGAAACGGATGGTACTAGAGAGTTCGGATCGGAAAAGGAAATAGCGTTGAGACGTAGCTCCATTGCACGGGTTGAGTCAACGCAACCCTCGTCCCGCGCGGAGTCAGGAGGGTTGCGGACTAATTTTTTGTCTCTTCCGAGACCTCTGGTTTGGCTTCCGGAGTCACCGTGCTAGCACGACCTTTGGCCGCACGGGAAGTGGACTTTAGGCAGTCCCGGGCAGTGTGACCGGGTCCGCCGCAGAAGAGGCAGAGCTTCTTCTCCATGCGCCTCTGGCGTTCCTCGGAGGTGAGTTTGCCGTCTTTTCCGAGCTTGGACGTCAAGTCCGGAAGTTTGGCGGAGGAGGAAGCCGAAGCGTTTCCGGATTTTCCGCTGGAGTACTCTTTCCGGTCGGAAGTGGAAGCTGACTGCTTAGCAGGAGGCGCGGATGCGGAGGGTTTGGTTTCGCGGGAGACTTCTCCCTTGCGTTCCCAGTATCGAGCGTCGATAGTCTGGGCGAGAGTTTTGTATTGGGACAGAGTGGTGGGTTTTCCTTGACGACTGATTTCGTCCTTGATGCGAGCCGGAAGTCCGTTGTAGAACTGACGGCGCAAAGCTCCGTCGCCCCAACCTCGGACTTGGGAAGCTAGCCGCTGGAACTCTACAACATACTTGTTGATGCGCTGTCCGTCGCGCATATAGAGCTGTTCCAGCTGCATTTCCGCATCTCCGACCGGGTCGTGAGGTCCGAAGTTAGTTTGGAGTTCTAACATGAACTCGGAGTAGTCATCCATCCAATCCGGACGATCCGCTAGATCATCCGAAAGGAGGTCCGGCTCAAACCATTCAAGGGCCATGCCCTTGAGGTATGATTGCGCGAAGTTGACCTTAGTTCGGCCGGTACGGAAAGATTTCGGCTTAGCTTGGAAGTTAAGCTCACATTGGACAAAGAACGCCCGGAGTTTCCGGGGCTCAGTGCCATCGAAGGTATCCGGTTCTCGGACTTTGACTTTAGGATCACCGGATCCGGAGGATTGGCGGTTGTTACGCGCCAGGTTATTGATGGCTTGGGATAGCCGGAGGAAGACCAAGTCTTGTGGACCTAGACCTTCGTTTTCATCGTCAGTCGGGTCTTCCGGAGGTTCATCATCCGGATCTCCGCCACCTCCTCCTGGCGGGTTACCGCCTAGGGCAAGTTCATCGTCGGAATCATTGTGCGGAAGATTTCCGGCGGGTGTGGGGGTGGGGGTAGACGGATGTGGGCGATTCATGAGTTGTGAGATACTGGAGGCAGCACCTTGCGCACTAGCGCGGCGCTGTGAGAAACTGAGGAAGGCATCGACTATGGGAGTAGAGTCGCGTCGGGCGGTTACTACACCCGCTGCATTAAGAGCGGTCTGCGCCCGTGTAGGTGCCATGAAGTCAGATGTAAGTATACTCGGTAAGGTGTGAGTTCGAATATACTGTTAAGAACGTGCTCAAGGGTCGGATCCGAAGGGCTTGGCTTCAGCTCGTGCGCTGCGCCCCTTACCCGAGTACGTGCCCCTAACTTCCGAGGGTTGTTGAACGATGTCCGAAGGTTACCGGACGATGTCCGGAGGGCGTCGGGCGATGTCCGGAGTCCGATGTCCGATGCGCGGGAATTCCGGCGGACGTTCGGAAACAAGAGATAAGACTAATCCGGACGAAGTCCGAACTAGAAAGGAAACAGCGGAGGACTACCAGAGGTAGAGGCGGAGGTGACAAGTCTATAGGAGTCGATCCTAAGACGAGCGGAGGTCGACGAGAGAGAAACTCAAGTCGGACGGAGGAGAGAATGAGCAGAGTCTAATATGATATTCGAACTGAGGAAACTACAGAGATTGTACAGGGGTTTATATACTACTGAGGACATAACGGAGAACAGTGAGTGCAGTGCGAAGCTATGTAAAGCTATGAAGAAAACATATGGTACGACTATCACTAGTCTATCGGAACTTAGTAAAATGAAGACGGAGATGAATGAGGAACGGAAAATAAAGCGTACTAACTGATAAGGGAAGTACCAAAGGGATAAGGCGCGGAAGTTAGACGCGGGTCGGATCCGGACGATACATAGAAGTCGGCCGGATCCGGAAATCCGGAAATGATGAGTGTGATAGGTCCGGGTCCGGAACGCGGGATATGACAAAGGCAAGCCAGGCTTCGTAAACCTCAAGCGCGTCATATGGCACGAGGCATTCTTAAAACTGTTGGAACTGGTCGCGCAACACTCAAAGTCTGGTTATTCACATACTTGCTATGACAAGATCGCACGCTGGTTGTTTCCCATTATTCTGATACTTTCTGCTGATTATGAAGAACAGTAAGTTCTATATTCTTACACATGTCCGCAATCTGATATTAGACTGTTTTTAGATGTATGATGTCTCTCATTTGTGGCCACCATAGCAAATGTCCCTGTCCAGTATGTCTTGTACCGCTCGAAGAACTTAGCGAGCTATCAAAGACGTTTGCATTTAGAACAGTGGAAGAAGCAATAGCCGCACTCAATGTTTACAAGGTCAGCAAAGCTCGAGGCGAGGAACTACTCAAGGCATTAGGATTGCGTGCTGTCGCGGTAAGTTATTGGCAATATTCACTCTCTCGTTTCGCCTCCATGTTTTCGTTACTAATATCTCATCAACAGAATGTTTTCTGGCTCATTGCGCACTCTGACCCTCATCAAGCCATCAGTTTTGACTGCCTTCATGCCCTCCATCTTGGTATGTGGAGGCACCTACTCGAGGAGTTGAAGAAAATCCTCAAAGCGCTTGGACGTGATGAAGAGTCAAAGGTCGAGAAACAGTAAGTCATTCACATCGCGATTCTCATCAACTCATGACCTTCGGTAGGGTTGCTAGTTTCCCTCGATGGCGCAATCTTAATCATTTCAGCACCATCATCCACATTACCTTCAGTGATGGTAACAAGATGCAAGATCTATCCAAGGTACGTATCATGAGGCTTTTGGCTTTCTAATACTAACTGACGCGCAGCAAGCCTTCTATTCTGCGGTAAACGTCTTGAACCAGAGGACCAGCCCAGAAGGGTATAAACTTCTTCGCGTTATTAGTAGCTATCTGCAATTGGATAGCTATATTGGTCTCGACGTGCATACGTCAAGCACACTGGCAGCAATTGATGCTGAACTACTCGTTTTTGATAGCGCACTCAAGGTAAATGTTTTGTTCATTCACTTTTTAAATAGATTGTTGATCACACATTCTAGGAATACATCGAATGTGCTCTCAATTCTCCCATCGTAGGTCTCAAGCTTGACTGGGACTTTCCAAAGGCGCATCTCTGGAAGCACGCAACTAGGGACATCCAAATGAAGGGTGCAGTACGCAACTACAGCACCCGTCCGAATGAGAAGCTTCATGGCCCCCTCAAAGAGGCCTACGAGCGCCAGTCAAATGGAAAGGACGTCGCTGACCAGGTATGTTTCTAACATTATAGCATCTGATGTTCACTCATGTAAAGATCTTGTTAGATACTGCGTGTTGACACGCGCAAATTCGCAGCCAAAATGTTGAGAGCGCACGTGGACGTGCTTGATGAGCGGCGCACATTGGCAGGAGAGGGCAATGATGACGATGAAGACCCGAATCCTGTTGCTTTCGAGGGGCACATCAAACTTGGTTCGACGCAACAGCCCGTAGCCATCCAAGACATCGAGACCCACGGCGGCCAATTGGATCGTGCATTTCAAGGCTTTCGTAAGAAGTTTTCCGATTTTATCAACAACTCATTACCGACGTACGGATATCGACTGGAAAGATGGGTCACCATACCGACAAACTTCTTGGTGAGTTGATCTTGTTTTAGTATGTGTCTTGTACTGATTTATGTATTTCTGAACCAGATTCGTGAACATCGCTTTCTCAAAGTTCACTACGAGTCTACCGTCGACTGGAAGCAAACTACCGACTACCTTCGATGCACTCCAGGCTTCCATGGGCAACCGCGCTATGACTGCGCACTTATACAACTCGCCCAGGAAGTATCAGTGTTTGTTCGCCTTGTTTTCATATTCAGTTGTCAGCTTCTGGATGTTGGTTCCTTCAAGTTTGCACTGGTTCAGCCATTCACTGCTGGCATTGGTGCTTCTCGCAGGTCGGACCGTGATCTACGACTTACTCGTGTCAAAGCTGTCCCAAGGGCAAGTTCGATCTTCGTTCCAGTCCAGTCTTTCATTCGTGGCGCTGTTTGTTTCCCTGATCCTGATCACCGAGATGAATTCCTCGTGGTCGACCACATCGATAGTGACATGTTTGTGCGCATGAAGTCACGTCCAGCACGCCAGTGACCAGCTCCAATGTCTCCTTACTTCACCTCTATCAGTCTGAATCAGAACTACAGTGTCCAGATATGTATGTAGATCTCTCTTTTCTTAATATCATCTCGTCTGACTGCACTCAGCTCCACTCTCCCATATCTCCAACGACACAGCCATCTCCTCTGCCCACACCATGCACACCAAATCCGTACTCAGCTCCGCTCTCCCATATCTCCAATAGTTCTTGCACCATGCAAGTCTATTTACTGGACCACCACAAGACACTCTTGATTCGTGTCACAGGGCCTCAAGACCCGTGCTTCACAAGCGACGTCATCCGATAAGCTTTTGCGGTTGCAGAACGAGTTGACGCAGGGTCTAGAGCTCGCTAAAACACTCCTTTCTCGAGAAAATCTCAAGCGTGACTACACGCAGCAAACACAAGTTTCCCTCGTTGGGCACTAAAGAGGACGAGGAGCTTCTACTTGACAAAGAGAGAGTAGCAAAGAAACCCAAGATCGAATCCAATCGTATCACTGGACTCAAGATACGTACGAGAATCTGTCCCACTGTAAGTCCAAATTGTCGTGTTCATTAGTCATTTGATAGTAATCGGTACTGAAGTTAAAGTACCTGCAGCTTTTATTACATGTCGACTTTGCCAAGGCTGAACTAAACACGCCGCATGTCAACAGCAAGGACGGCAAGATGCTGCGGAGCAACTGGCCCTGTGCAGGGTCACGTCTTTATAACATGGAACCAGGCAAGTGAAATTGTCGTGTCTCATATCTCCACTGTTCAGACTTAAATTTCTTGTGTCTTAGTTTAATTGTCATGCCCCAGGCTGGATATTCCTCAGACGACTTCACAGCAGAACTCGATGCTATTGAGGATACTGAGTCTGAATATGAGCAAGACAACGTGTTACAGTTACATTTGCTGCGCTCTATTTTCTCATATCATCTCTACAAACGGCCTTCCTTTCTTGTATGATGTATACTTCTCACGATTAGCCTGGTCCGTGCGCACATATTGGCCTATTTAAGCACGTATATTACTACTAGTTTCTGCACTTTAATCTTACTAGGTTTTACCTGAACTATCCTTCGCTTAAGACCCCCAATCTTAAGTCGTCAGATACTTGATTCTTAGACAAAGCACTCCTTTGTCTAAGCCTACGAAGAGTCCCCTTTTCTGGAGACTGCGAATCTCAACGATCGTAACTCTGTCGAGTTGTCGTTGTTAAGAACTATCCTAGTTCGTAACAAAAGATTAAAGTCGAGAGACACCACCCATCCGCGTGTGTCAAAGAAACAAAAGAAGATCAAGAAGAAAAGACCTGGCTGAGCAAGACAGCTAGTGCAGGCAGAAGCAAAACTGACGTCGCTTACTCCAAGACTCCAAGCCCTGAACCTCGGTACCCTTGTACCGCCGCTCAACATGTCCAACACCAGCACGAAGGAGTTCGAATACAAGATTAACCACCCACCCATTTTCAATGGAGATAGAGAGCTTTCCAGATCGTTCCTCCTCTCGTGCAATGCCTATATGGATATCAACGACAAGCTCTACAAAGATGACAAGCAACGAATCATCTTCATAACCTCCTTCATGAACGAAGGAAACGCCAGACTTTGGAAAGAAGAATTCCTTGAAGACGCCCAATTTGTGGACTCTTCCGGACAAAAGAAAGGGTACGGAACGATGAAGGACTTCCAGGAAGCATTCAACAAAGCCTTCTCGTCCATCGACCCTTCCGGAACAGCCATGGCAAGAATCGGGAATTTGAAGCAAGGGAGCGGAGATCTGCAAACCTACATCGCCGACTACCAAAGGCTCATCGCCCAAGCAAAGATCAAGGAAGAATCGGCCAAGATCTTCCATTTCCAAGCAGGACTTAAACCGGGAATACTGGAAAAATTATTCTATTCCGGAAATGTCCCGAAGACCTTTGACGACTATGTCGAAGCAGTGGTAGATATCGACAATTGCTACATGCAGTTGCAGGCCATCAGAGCCCGAAACCCTTTCCATCAAAAGAAAAGAAGGTTCGGAGATCAGAGGTTCATCCCTACCAGGGATAGAGATGCCATGGTGGTGGACCGACTCGTAGAAGCTGATCGTCAGGAACACATGAAGACAGGAAAATGTTTCACCTGTCACCAAACCGGGCACCGTGCCTGCGACTGCCCTCAGAAGAAGAAAGGGCCTCCGTTTGTACGGAAATTAGAAGACGAAGAAGAAACGAGGCGTATCCAGGAGGATTTTTGAAATGGAGAGCTAGATCGACTATAGCATCTCCAGAAGAACCTGTACGTCTTATACGAGCTATTGGTGAAAGAAAAGAACTACGTGTTCCTATTTCTCTTATCTCTCGAACACGTCAAAATGTCGAAACCAGCGCAGTAATAGATTCCGGAGCATCTGGAACCTATATTTCCGAAAGCTTCGTAAAGAAGCACGGCCTCAAATCCCGAAGACTGGAAAAACCTTTCCATGTTAGGACCGCTGATGGAAGTTATTTCCGCAGTGGACCGGTAGAACGATATTGCACCCTTATCATCAAAGTCGACAAACGAACCATGATAGGGAAATTCAATATCACCAGACTAGGACCAAAGGATCAGATCCTCCTAGGAATTCCCTGGCTCAGAGCTATGAATCCTTCCATCGATTGGACCAATCAAACCGTATCCCTTGAAGAAACTCCGAAGTCCATTGAAATCGAAGAAAGCGTAAAAAAGAGCCGAAACCCACCTAAGCGAACGTGGGTTAACTCTAGGATGAAAAAGGAAGAACCATCAAAATTCTCCGCGTCAATTGAAGAAGTCCCCGAAGATATTCCCACTCCGCTACCCATGGAAGACGATGAACTCTTCAATACCAAAGAGGACGTCTGGATTGCCCCTCCAGTGCAAGAAGTATCTACCTACAAACTCAACGATGGAGAATTCCTTGTGGAATACGATTCCAACGGAGAGTTCATGAGAGTAGTGGAAGAAATTTCTCTCGATACTCCTCTTACTAAGGATGGGACATCGGCTTCTGAACAGAAGACAATTCCCACCCCTCTCAAATACAGTAACAAGGCACAAGAGTTCGCTCAAGAAGAAAAGACAAAACAAAAGAAAACCTTTGAAGAACTGGTTCCCACGTATCTCCACGACTATGCAGATATATTTGCCAAAGACGGACTAAATCAACTCCCCCCAGAAAGACCTGGGATCGACCATCGTATTGAAACAAAGCCCGGTTTTCTCCCTAGAACGTCGAAAGTCTATCCATTATCTCCAAAGGAACACCTAGCCGTGAAGAAGTTCATTGATGAAAATCTTGCCAAGGGATTTATCACGAAATCAAAATCCCCTCAAGCAAGCAGATTTTTCTTCGTAGGAAAGAAGAGCGGAGAACTTCGGCCCTGTCAAGATTACCGACTTCTAAACGACCAGACCATAAAAAACTCTTATCCCCTTCCGCTTCCGGCATCCCTTATCGAACGATTGCACGGTGCAAACTTCTTTACCAAGATGGATATCCGATCGGGTTACAATAACATCCGAATCCATCCTGATGACAGATGGAAAGCCGCGTTCACCACGGAACACGGCCTTTTTGAACCCACGGTAATGTTCTTCGGCCTATGTAACTCCCCAGCCACGTTTCAAGCATATATGGACGATAAATTCCGACAAGAAATCAACAAAGGATGGCTGGTCATCTATATGGACGACATCCTAATTTTCTCTAAGGATCTGGAGGAGCACAAGGAAAGAACACGACGGGTACTGGAGAAAATCAGACAAGAACAACTGTTTTTAAAACCGGAGAAATGCACCTCGATTCCAACGAAGTTGAATATCTAGGGATGATTATCAAACCTGGTCATGTGGAGATGGATAAAGACAAAACCAACGGAATAAAGCTATGGCCAAAGCCTGGTTCCGTAAAAGATGTTCGATCCTTTTTAGGATTTTGCAACTTTTACAGGTCTTTCGTATCCCATTATTCCGATATTGCCCGCCCTCTTATCAATCTAACAAAAAAGGACGCCGTGTTCCATTGGGACTCTTTATGCCAAGAGACCTTCGATCGACTAAAAACATGTTTTACGAGCCATCCAGTACTTCGCAATCCTGATCCACTCCGACAGTTCGCTATCGCCACCGATGCCTCTCTTGACGCAACTGGAGGAGTACTCTTGCAGACCGACAGCAATGGAATGTATCACCCCTGTGCTTACCTCTCCCAGTCCTTTAACCCCGCTGAACGCAACTATCAAATCTTTGATCGGGAATTACTTGCCATCATTCGTGCGTTAACAGAATGGAGACACTATCTAGAGGGACATCCTTTCCCTGTCATCGTATTCACCAATCATATGAACCTGCTTTATTTTAGGAAAGCGGAACGATTGTCTCGCCGGCAAGCACGTTGGCAGATGCTTCTCACATCCTTTGATTTAGAACTTCACCACGTGCCTGGCACAAAATTAGCAGCACCTGACGCGCTTTCTCGTCGACCGGATCATGATGATGGATCTTCTGATAACCATGATACCGTACTCCTTCCTGATTCGATGTTTGTACGACTACTCGATGACCAACTACGTGACACCCTCGCTATTCCGTCTCCGTTAGACGACCCCATATTCAGCACTGCTGTTGACGCCCTAAACGGCATCTGTCTCCCTCCTATAAAATCTGCTCTTTCCGATTGGAAGATTGAGTCCGATATTCTTTATTTTAAGAATCGTGCCTATATCTCTCCTTCCCATCGTCCGTCCATCCTTGCACGATGCCATGATCATCCCACGGCGGGACATCCTGGTCGTTTTAAAACGGAAGAATTGGTTAAACGAGAAGCTTGGTGGCCTGGCATGGGAACTTTCATCCGGAAATACGTCGAGGGCTGTGCGGTTTGTCAACAGATGAAGGCTGATACGCATCCCGTAACTCCACCCCTGACTCCCATTTCCTCCGCTGCCACGAGGCCATTCTCCCAAATCTCCGTTGATCTTATCACCGATCTTC